TCGGGTTCGGGTAAAAAATTTCGGGTCGGGTTCGGATTATTTTATTCTCGGTTCCGGTTCGGATATTTTAGTGGTCGGTCGGGTCGGTTAAGCTCGGGTTCGGGTTGAATTGCCATCCCTATGTGTGATCTTGTTTGATTTGTCTTAGCACATATAGATTATTATTATATAATTTCTATAATTTTTTAATATATAAATTACAACATAAAATGGATTAAAAAATGTATTAGATGCTGTGTAAAAATGAAAGTGGACAAATACTCTTGAACAGAGGTAGTACTACGTAATTACCTTAGCTTAGCAAGTCCAATAGTGTGAATTGGATCATTGGATGGGAATCTAATACGAGTACTTTGTTGAAAAAAACTACAATGTCCACGTGTCCAACGGTTGACACATGAATTTATTCTTAGAGATATACTCCGTAATCACTAAGGATAAAGCTATATGTACCCCAAAATTTTGTACCCCACTTTGTACCGCAGGTTTGTACCGACACTTTGCGTTTGTGTAAAACTAATTTTTGTTAATGCACTGAGACTTTGTGTCCGTGTAAATTTTTGTTAACGGACCAACACTTATGTCGGTGTAAACCATCAAAATGTTTGTGTATAACTGCGGTGTACAAATGGGCTACAATTTGTGGTGTAAATGTAGCATGGCTCAGTCACTAATTTTGAATCATTGAACAAAGCAGGGGACCCCGTTTTCGCGAGTTTTTTTAAAATAGAAATCTACCTCAATAAGATTAAAACATACTCCCTCCGTCCCTAAATAAAGTTTCTCTTTTGTTTTTTCTTTGTCCCCAAATAAACTTCTTTTTTCCCTTAAAACCCCTTTTACCCCTTACTTTTTCATACTCTACCTATCGCATCATACCTTTTTACTAATAATTTATCTATCACATTTTACTTTTACACATCACATCAAGGGTATTTTTGGAAAGTCAACACAAAAATATCCCTCCCTTAAATCTTCAAAAAGTCAAAAATGGAACTTTATTTAGGGACGGATGGAGTAAAATTTATGTTAATTATGTTGGATTCCTTAATTGGAGAGATTTTAGAAAACTTTAGACCACTCTAGAGAAGTAAAGAATTTTCTAGAACGGTCTAGAGAATTCTAGAAAAATGTAGAACTCTCTAGAATCTTTTAGAAGAGTGTCGAAGCCTCGGAAATATTTTAAAGAAGTATGAAGCTTTCTAGAACCTTATGGAAGCTTATAGAGGAAGATGTAAGATGTACTCCGGGGTATGTAAATATACAACAATAACAACCCAATTGATAGAGATATATTAATAGTCAATATAAAAAAAATAAGAAATATTAGTAGTCAAAATGTTGAATTGCAGAATGTGAAAAGTTAAATGAGAAGCTTTTAATTAAATGGATGGAGGGATTTGTATTTATCCAAAAATTTTACTTTAATTAATATTAAATTTTTATTTAATTAATAATAAAAAGTTATATAATTTTATCCAAAAAATCAAACTAGACAAATTAATTGGAATAGAGAGATCAGAGTACGTATATCTTTATCGTCCCCCTAAATGTAGGAGGGTTGACGCAGATTAATTGTGATATATCAAAAATTTTACAAAATAAGAGGTGACAAACATATTTAATTTTATAATATGGTCAATGAAAACACACAAATAAACAAAAGTTTGAGTAATTTCTGAATAGTAGAGTGTGTAATTCATTTAGGGACGACGGAGGAGTACAAGCTAAGTATATTAATTGTATCGGTAAGGTTTTGTTGACATTGGTTTCTAGTGTCAATGGATGACACTCACTCATTTTAAGCTCCTCTAATATTTTATCCGTAAAATTGATGATTACCTATTTATTACTCGATCATTAACGGGTGCGTGTCACTTTAATACTCCGTAATTAAAATACTTTGTCTATATGCGTATAAATATAATTACGGATCGGAGTAACAAATTAGATAAATATAGATCATGAATCCAAAAGGGTCAACTTACTTTTGTCGTCCATATTATATACTCCTTCCGTCCCGTAAAACATGTGACTTTTTCTTTTTAGCAAGAATTTAAGGGGAGTGTATTTTGGTATTGAATTTCTAAAAATGTCTTTTGATGTGATGGGTAAAAATATGATTTGATAGATAGATTATTAGTAAAAAGGTATGATGTGATAGTTAGGGTATGAAAAAGTAAGGTGTAAAAGTGACTTTTTAATAAAAATGGGAAGTGCTTTGTGGGACGGATTAAAAAAAAGAGAAAGGTTTTATGGGACGAAAGAGTATATACAATTGTATAATTAATTATTGAGTAAATTATATAAAAGGTCTCCAGTTATAGGTCGTTTTACATATTTAGTCCCTACATATCAAATATTACTAATTTAGTCCCCAATTATTATATTTATTTTCACGAATGGTCCTTTGTTAACATTTCCGTTAAGAACGTGGATAAAATTGTATATTCATACTTCTCTCTCTCCTCAATTAAGCTTTCTTCATCTTCTCATACTCTTTCCCAAACTCGTCGCTGAGTTTGAAGCTCTTAAACTCAAAATTTAAATGATCGTTCCTCCAGTTAGACAAACAATTAAGAAAAGAGTGATGATTTTGGTTTAGGGTTCAAAGCTAGAAACTCAGCGACGTGTTTGAGAAAGGAGTACAAGGGAGGAGAATGCTTAATTGGGGAGAGAAAGGAGTGTGAATTTATAATTTTATCCACGTTTTAATGAAAATATTAACAAAGGACCATTCGTAGAAATAAATATAATAATTGGGGACCAAATTAGTAATATTTGATATGTAGGGACTAAATATGTAAAACGACCTATAACTGGAAACCTTTTATGGAATTTACTCTTAATTATTAGTTAATGTATGAATGTATCTAACACGGGTGATACTAATTAAAACATTACTCCGTATTATTAATTAAGCTACCAACTTAATTAATTACTATACTCCACACATTACTCAATGCTGATCGATCTATGCTGTGCCCCACAAATCTTTGTCTTCATCTTTTGTGTTTAATTTTGATAGAATTTAGGATGGGGTATGGATTACTGGATTGGGTAATAAGACACTTGAATTGAACCGTGTTAAAAGATTGAATCCAATCGATTAGTTAGTTCAACTCAATGGCTTATATACCGGTTTATTTTTCTCTTCAATTTCCAATGTGGAATACTCTAACACTCCCCCTCAAGTGGACAATCGGGCCATTTTGAATCTAACCGGTTGACCACTTGCAAATGAACTCCCATTCCCTTGACTTTTTTTTTTGAGCGACAACACCTAAAGGACCACGAGCCGCTGGGTATGGACTTCCAGACGAGCAATCATGTTAAACAGGCCACAGGCCGTTGGGTACATACTCCATACGGACAACTGGGCTAAAGACTAACGGGCCGCTAGGAATGAATGTCTAGACGGACACCTTGACAAACGAGGTGGGCTAAAACTGGCTCTGATACCATGATAGAATTTAGGATGGGGTATGGATTACTGGATTGGGTAATAAAACACTTGAGTTGAACCGTGTTAAAAGATTGAATCCAATCGATTAGTTAGTTCAACTCAAGGGCTTATATACCGGTTTATTTTTCTCTTCAATTTCCAATGTGGGATATTCTAACAAATTTTTAAATAGTATAAAAAAAAGTTCGTCCGTTCTGGAACATATATTTAGTACTACCTCCGTCCCACTCTTTTTGTCCAGTTTTGACTTTTGGAACTGTTCATCTAAGGACTTTGATTCATCAAATTCTATCAATGTGTAAGTCTAAAAATAGTCATGTGTGATCTTGTTTGATTTGTCTTAACATATAGATTATTACTATATAATTTTTATAATTTTTTAATATACAAATTACAAGATAAAATGGATTAAAGAAGTGCATTGGATGATGTGCAAAAATGAAAGTGGACAAAAAGAGTGGGACGGAGGGAGTATATTTTTCGATTTCGCATATTTTAGAAAATGATATGTGGTTTAAAATATTTCTATACTTGAAGAAATTATAACCCTCACTATTCATTATTTAATATTTTTTTAATCTTTGTAAAATCAAAAAATGAATAAATTAGTTTGAAAGAGAGGGAGAACATGGATATATAGGTAGGATTATGTGGATATATTTGGTTGTATACGGGACGAACCTTTGAAGTTTCGGCTGTGAATCTTTGGAAAAATGTGGTATTATAAACTACGCGTAATACTTTTTTCGTCCCTAATTTAGAGCACTGGTAACACCCCTCACGCCCACCGGCGTTACGGGGCGTTTAACGCCCCGGGGGCGTGAAACACCGCCCCCCGCCGGCGTGAAACGGGCGTGAGGGCGCCTGCGTCAAAAGAATGACGGGGCGTGAGTTGGGCGCTGCTCCCTCCTAACGGCTAAAATAGCCGTTGCACCCCAAATTAAAAAAAAAAAAATTTCCTATAAATTCAACCCTCCCCAACCAATCTCTCACACCTTCTCTCCAATCTCTTCTTCTTTCTTATTTTTAAATTTCAAAATTCAAATCCCTCCTCCCAATTTTCAACATGAATCCTTCCGGCTCCGGCTTCGATCCCGACAATCTCCCCCCGAGTGACGCCGCGATGTGGTTCTACCAAGAGTGGGGCGATCGACCGCCGATATACGAGACGCAACAATCGGGGTACGTCGACCGAGATTCGGTTCCGGAGAGTCAACCGGAACCGTCCGGATCGAAAAAAAGTACACGCCGGAGGAGCCACAAAGCCAAAGGCACGTTGACCGATGCGGCACGGGCAATCCAAAAGTGGACGCCGGAGGAGGAGTGCATATTGGCGTCGGCTTGGGTTGACGTCTCCGAGCATCCTATCATTGGTAAAGAATTTGTTTTTTCTAATATATTTATATTTTTATTTATATATATTATATTTAATGGTGTCAAAAAAAATAATTATATACTTTTTTAAAGGTACGGAGCAAACGAAGGATGCGATGTGGGATCGTATCGAG